CCTCAAGGACGACGTCTAGAACGACCTCAGGGACGACTTCTTGGACGACCGCAAGGACGACCTCAAGGATGACTTTAAGGACGACCACTAGGACGACCTCAAGGACGACGTCTAGAACGACCTCAGGGACGACTTCTCGGACGACCGCAAGGACGACCTCAAGGATGACTTTAAGGACGACCACTAGGACGACCTCAAGGACGACATCTAGAACGACCTCAGGGACGACTTTTCGGACGACCGCAAGGACGACCTCAAGGATGACTTTAAGGACGACCACTGGGACGACCTCAAGGACGATGTCTAGAACGACCTCAGGGACGACTTCTCGGACGACCGCAAGGACGACCTCAAGGATGACTTTAAGGATGACCACTAGGACGACCTCAAGGACGACGTCTAGAACGACCTCAGGGACGACTTCTTGGACAACCGCAAGGACGACCTCAAGGATGACTTTAAGGACGACCACTAGGACGACCTCAAGGACGACGTCTAGAACGACCTCAGGGACGACTTCTCGGACGACCGCAAGGACGACCTCAAGGATGACTTTAAAAACCACCACTAGGACGACCTCAAGGACGACGTCTAGAACGACCTCAGGGACGACTTCTTGGACGACCGCAAGGACGACCTCAAGGATGACTTTAAGGACGACCACTAGGACGACCTCAAGGACGACGTCTAGGACGACCTCAGGGACGACTTCTAGGACGACCGCAAGGACGACCTCAAGGATGACTTTAAAAAATGAAAGCCGCTTACAACTCCCTGTAACGCCGAATTAGAGCGCAGCTCTTGAGGAGGAGGAGGGAAGGGCACTGGGGGGGGGGGGGGGTTAAACTAACCAGGGGGGGGGGTCACGTTACCTTGGGGGTCACGTGACCCCCAATGCCGATGATGTCATCACTGATATCACTGATGACGTCATCAGTGACGATGACGATGCGGGTACCGATGACGTCATTAGTGACGTCACTGATGACTTCACCAGTGATGATGACGATGACAATGCGAATGTCGGTGACGTCATCAGTGACGTCGCTGATGACGTCATCAGTGATGATGACGATGACGATGCGGATGCCGGTGACGACATCAGTGACGTCACTGATGACGTCATCAGTGATGATGACGATGACAATGCGGATGTCGGTGACGTCATCAGTGATGATGACGATGACGATGTGGATGCCGGTGACGTCATCAGTGATGATGACGATGACGATGTGGATGCCGGTGACGTCATCAGTGATGATGACGATGACGATGTGGATGCCGGTGACGTCATCAGTGACGATGACGGTGACGATGCGGATGCCGGTGACGTCATCAGTGATGATGACGATGACGATGTGGATGCCAGTGACGTCATCAGTGATGATGACGATGACGATGTGGATGCCGGTGACGTCATCAGTGATGATGACGATGACGATGCGGATGCCGGTGACGTCATCAGTGATGACGATGACGATGTGGATGCCGGTGACGTCATCAGTGATGATGACGATGACGATGTGGATGCCGGTGACGTCATCAGTGACGATGACGTCATCGGGGGGTCACGCGACATCGGCGGGGGTCACGTGACCTCGAGGAGGGGGCCACGTGACTTCGGGGGGTCACGTGACCCCCCACGAGGTCACGTGACCTTGGTGGGGGGCTCGCGCGGTGCATTATGGGACATTTCCCATGATGAACCGCGCGGTTACGCCGACGCCGACGGCGACGGCGACGGCGACGGCGACGGCGACGCCGACGCCGACGGCGACGCCGCTCAAGCGGGAAACGGGCCCCTAAGAGCTGCGCTCTAAAACGACCACTAGGACGACCTCAAGGACGACGTCTAGAACGACCTCAGGGACGACTTCTTGGACGACCGCAAGGACGACCTCAAGGATGACTTTAAGGACGACCACTAGGACGACCTCAAGGACGACGTCTAGAACGACCTCAGGGACGACTTCTCGGACGACCGCAAGGACGACCTCAAGGATGACTTTAAGGACGACCACTAGGACGACCTCAAGGACGACGTCTAGAACGACCTCAGGGACGACTTTTCGGACGACCGCAAGGACGACCTCAAGGATGACTTTAAGGACGACCACTGGGACGACCTCAAGGACGATGTCTAGAACGACCTCAGGGACGACTTCTCGGACGACCGCAAGGACGACCTCAAGGATGACTTTAAGGACGACCACTAGGACGACCTCAAGGACGACGTCTAGAACGACCTCAGGGACGACTTCTTGGACGACCGCAAGGACGACCTCAAGGATGACTTTAAGGACGACCACTAGGACGACCTCAAGGACGACGTCTAGGACGACCTCAGGGACGACTTCTAGGACGACCTCTAGGCATTGTCCTCGAGGACGACTTCTAGGACGACGCCTAAAGAAATTCAGCCTTTACACTCTGGTGAAAACCAGAGTGGAAAGGTTGCCACCATCTATGAGCGACGGCGGCAACCAGACAACCGGCAATCCGGTTGTCTGGTTGCTGCCGTCGCTCATAGATGGCGGTAGCTGTCCAGAGTTTTGAGTCGGCATTTGTTTTCCCGCTGTAAAAATGTCTGCCCCTTCCACTCCGCTGTTCGGACGCCACTGGCTAAGCAAGTTTTTTTTTGTTTTTTTAGGGGGGATTTTTTTTAGGACACTGTGGTCGGGTTGCATATTTTTATTATCACAGTTATCATAAATATTACCAGTTTTTCTCTCATCGAGTTTGCATTTCTCTCCACGTCGTGTTCTTTTGCCTCCCAAAGTGCGTACCGACTCGACCTTAACAGAAGTTAAAAACCACGAGATGGCAAACTTTCTTTTTGCAGCTATCATTCCAGTTCTCTGCTCGAGGCTTTTACATTCGAATTTGCTCGTGTTCAGTTTTATCATTGGTTCTCGTTCACATATTTGAACGGCTCTCTTTACAAAGACTATCGTAAATCAATAAATCAATCAAAGTTTATTGAGTTAACCGTCGAGGAATACAGTTGCCTGGGGGCCGTCACAAAAGGCATTGACATGCCTGACAAGGAGAGAGTCCCCCCCCCCCCCCCCTCACAGCCAGACCATCCAGCATGCCCGAAAAAAAAAATGACTGACAGAGGAGGTTTTATCTCCGTGAAAAAGAAAGGAGAGGTGGATGTTTTGAGGTCAGCCATGCCCCCTGACAGCGCTGCTGCGATGAGAAATAGTGACGTGCTGTGGCCGAAATTGCTTCGCACGTCTGGTTGAAACTTTTTGGCGGGTTGTGTCAGTAATTTGAGCTCAAGTTTGTGCCCAAGAGCAGTTTCTGTGGATGCTAAACTCAGGGTCATAAAGGAGAGAATTCCTGGGGGCTAACTAAACACGGCACCACGAAGATTCCTGACGGCCAATAGCTCGAATTTCCAAAGAATGAAGCTTAAGAGAAAGGACAAACTGGACGTCGCAATCAATTAAAATATTGCTTTTAGGAAATTATCTACTGCTTATTACAAAAAAAAAACTAAGTGAAATGAGTCTTCTAAGCTTATTGCTCATGCTTCGCGTGTGGTGAGCTGTTGCTCAATGTGTGTCAAGATTTTGCCAAGTCCTCTTTCAACAGGGAGGGATGGCATCTTTAGATACTCCCGTCTGTTGGCGTACGGTAATCCTCAATTAATTTCGAAGCGTTAAAATACCTCCGCTAAATATGGACAAAACTGCAGGCTCACTTTGGTGCGTAGAAATGTCGACATGTTACCGTGGGTAGATTAGCGATAGGACTAAGTCACTAAGTACTTTAAGAACTACAAATGAATAATCTTCAATGTTCTATTCAAAACAAAACATAGAACATGGCACAAAAGTCATCTGCAAGAAAGTTGTGGTCAAAATATATATGTTAAGGCCTATTGCGAAGACATACCCGAAGTTTCAGAAAGCCAAAACAGAGGTAGTCATATTATAATCACTCCCGGAGGGGGGATTGAACCCAGAACCCCTCTGTTCTGCAGCACGAGCTTTAGCTCCAAGCTGTGGTGCATCAAGACACTCGGCCACCGATTTCCCTTTATGAACAAAATGGGTACACCAAAAAAATATCAAAGTAAAAACGGACATTTTATTAAAGCGGGTTCACATTACGTCTATTTTTATCTTTTGACAACATATAAAAGGTTGTATAAATTAGTTTATGAAATTAAATTAAACTATAGTTGAACCAGTCGATACACATGCAGAGGCCTAGAGGCGTATATTATTTAGTAAGCACCATTTACGATGAATCCTAAGATACAACACTTCCAATAGGTCTATAAAAACGTCGACGGTACGATATTTGGAATTTTCTTATTCCTGGCATAAAATATTCCAAATCAGTTTAGTTTCATGACAAAAGGGGCCATGCGTCAGACATTTACTAGAAAAATTAATAGGAATGTTTATATTTTGATCTATTTATAACAAGCAACAGAACTAGGTAGGAAAACTCAAGCAGCCATAACGTAGCATTTCACCTTGCTCCACTTATTAATTTATATCAAGAAAACTATTTCTTTTAAAAAATTTCAAAAGAGTGGTTAAGTTATCACAAAAAAAAGGGGGGGGGGCAATACTATATATCGTTAGGCTATTCAAAATACACATTCCGATCCGCGTTTTCCATTCCAAACTAAACTACACAACCCCTTCTTTTATATATAACTTTTTCAAAAACGCATCGAGCAACACCGGTGGTCACCATTTCTCGGGCACGAAGCGTATTGTTAAATCCGAGTTCTCGCCGAACGATGAAGCTGCACTCAATCTCAATATGAGCAGAGCCCATCATCGCCAAGCGTTAGCTCGGTTCTCGTGTTCAACATAGCCCAGAAGGTATGCCTAACAATGGCAGACTCCGAAAATTAGTGAATAAACTACTATGGCACGCAATTCTCAAAAGGGTCTATTACTTCTTTATATTTTGTGCTCTTCAAATATATATTTTTTTTTCTTTTTTTTTTGTGAAAGAAGGTTAACGCTTACCTGCGACACGAAGACAGCTGAGTTTTTCCTAGTTGAGATTCCACAGGCACCAAACATTTTCCGTAGCATCATAGGTTCTGCATTTGGGATGGAGGCATTTGCCAGACCTAGTAAAGAAACCTAAGCTCAGTATGGCACAAATGAAAATACACCCATCAATAACCTTAGACACTAAAGTCGTTGATGGAAGAAACCATAAACTAGCAGGGCGTTTCGGAGTTAAAAGTAATATATGCGATGATTAAGGTGTTGTTAGAGGCTCACCAGCTGTACGTGCGCGCGCGTGTTTGTGATTGACTGGAGGGAACTTGACGAATCATTTTCGCAGACATGTGGCTACCAAGACAACGCCGACACTTAGATATTTAGCTTTTTTTTTTTTTTTAAGTTTCCTAAAGGATAAAATACGAAGGATGAAACGAGAACGGGTCAAATGCGGCGGGTACAAACGAGAAGGGCGTTTTGAGAGGGGTTATTTTAAGAAGTTTCATATGAGAAGGTCAAAACGAGTAGGGGCTCGAACAATGAACACCTGCGCGGGTAGCTTGCCTGCGTGCGCCCGAGTTCACTCGTCGACTCGACGGACAAAAGATGCGTGGTCTTTTCCTCTAACCCCCATTCGCGACCTTTTTGTCTCTCCAGTCGACGATGACACAGGCCCCGTGAACCGTGCCTCTCGCTCAGCCGCTTTGTGTTTGGGGAACCATTTTTCTTGAATAATTGTCCCGTATAGCTTTACTACTTGTACAGTTTCAGTCAGCGAATGACTTCGGCATGACCGTCGTTTTCAGAGTGTCCTTCGGCAACGCGCCTTTATATGCTAGGCCCTTGAGTGCACCCTAATCCCCAGGTGATAAGAGTAATAGGTAGACAGTACAAACCTATCTGTGCACTGATGATCTGCCCTCCCTTGATCACAAGCTCAGGCTTTGCACCAAACAACGCCGGCTTCCAGAGCACGAGGTCTGCCATTTTTCCTGGCTACACCACGAAAAACATATTAAAGTTCTGGGATGGTCATGCAGAAAATATTTATTAATATCTTATGAATGGTATAAATACTGCGATGTAGCACGCTAATATTATGTTTAATTAAAGCAGACCGCACAAAATGCGAAAATTTGGAACTCTTCAACACAGAAATATGTCCGCTGCTAGATTAATAAAAACATATTTGTTATCCCGTTATAGGCTTCCCCAGTTAACAACCCCCGAGCTCTAAGAATACAGTGTTCTACGCAAAGAAAATGAACTGCGTGTCGTTGGAAAGCGTCTCGCGAGAGGACGTATTTTTTATCGAACCTAATAGATTACTAAGTAAGACTGATTGGCAAGCTTTCTAAATGTCCATTTAAAGGCCGGGGTTTCACTCAAAAGTTCCAAATCAACTCGAGAAATAATCGATTGAGGCATTTCTAGCATAGGACGTTTCAAAAGCTTATTTTTACTGGTCTATAAAAACTGGAAAAACAATACGTGAAACGCGCCCTTGTTCCGCGATTAGAGCAGGCGCGCTGTCAGGTAGTACTTTCTTTTATTCGCGGGCATTTTTCTTACGCTGGGAAAAAGAAGCAAGCAAAGAATATTATGTTGCAACTACCTAAATATGATGTTTTCTGTTTTTCGGTCTTCTGTTTTTTTGGGGGGGTTATAGAATGATAGTTACATTACCCTCTCTCCCATTGTACCAGAACCCTAAAAAACGAAAACGATCATGCACATAAAGCGAACGAGGAGTGTCTTAAAATGAGAGGTTATCGCGCTTTCTGCAAATAATTTGCTAGGAAATATATCTGAGTGAGACAAAATCCAATGGCCATAAAACCGTAAGCATTTAAGTAGTCGCAACGGCTAAACGCGCACAGTCTCAGTATTTTTCACTTTGAATTAGGAGGGGTGGTGGCCGCCATCTATTGTAAATCTGTCGAGACAACGAAGACACTTTTCGTTGTCGGGCTGCTAGCAGTGTATAGTATTGTTTCTTTGGACTGAGTGATTTGTTAGAGGAAACGCACCTTTGAAGGCCAAACCCTTTCTTTGTGTTTAGTAGTGATTTCACCTACGTTCGCCGGGTGGCGGTGGTTATGCTAGAATGAGACCCTTTGTGTGAGTGTCCCACAGCCGAGGTCAAGGGAGATAAGAGAAGGTTTACCCAAGTGTCACTGTCCTCTTGTCATCTGTGTATTTTTTTTTTTTTTTTTTTTTGTAGAGACGGCGTTGGAGATGGGGTATATAAAGCGCGTTGGAAATAAACTTTGCAGCTGAGTTTGAGACGTTGCCTCCTCTTTTACTACCTTCTGTTGTGTTCTCTTTTCTGCCCCAGTCTCAGGTTTACAATCATGGTCACACTCTTCTCTGTTTTGGTGAATCCGGTATTCCGGTACGTCGGCGGCAACCCTCTCTTTCGCCACGCAAAGAGAAAGGGTTAACAGCGTCGACAGCGCGATGTCCATAAGTTCTCTCGGATGGGGGTTTCGAGACCACTCGACGAGGAATTCACGCTGCAGGCACGTTGTCTAATGTAAGTGAGCGAAGTACAATGCATTATCTTGGTAAAGTATTTTAGTTCTGCTTGTTTGAGGCTGCGTTCAGAGCTTGGAGCACTTTGAGACCTTAGTGTTCTTCGATCTGCGAAAAGCCCCTTTTGTATCCAAAGGAATCGCGAGGGGGTAGAGGGGTTTATCAAGCTCGATGATCTATCAATTCAATTGACTGATGCTGCTGAGTTGTTACGTCATACACCCATTGTGATATTTGCAGACTTGGACGTAGTTCAACTACTCTACTCAAACTACTGTAGTTTAACTACTTTTTCGAGTAACTTGGTAACTTCCAATTACAACTTGATTTGGGTAATTAGCAGTTTAATTTAACTACTTTCTTCAGGTAATTTCTACTCAAATTACTAACTACTTTCGAAATTATATAGTGCTAATTTTGCCCATCACGAAAGTTTGAGCGCATATATGAATAAGACGCTGGCAGATAAAGCGGCATTCCCGAACAAGGGGCCCCCTTCTTCGGGAAGGCGTCCTTGGGCCAAGGTGGCGACGAGCAGCCAAAACATAACACCGGCACGCACGAACGCAGAAAGAGATGCTTAAGAACCCTTGGTCGGGTATTGACCTAATCCGGTAATGCACGCAGGCGCCGCGTTTCCAGCTGCAACCATGAAAGACGGGGACACTCCGAGAGTTGTTATTGTTTTCGTGTTGTCTGTCTTTAGTGAGTTCAGACTCAAGCGGTAGGTTACACGGGAAGCGCCACTGGAATGACCTCGCAGCTGGGCGCCTGTTCCCATGGTCGCCTTGTCGTCAGCGCATACGCCTTTGCAAAGCCGGACTCCCCCGCGCACAAACCCCATCACGGATAATCCGTTCACGTCCTTCCGACCATCCATGTAAGGAAGACCTCCTCTTTGTTAAAAACGATTTACTTGTCAGGCGTGTCAGGCGCGTCAGAATATTGTAGTCGCCGGGGAGGATTGCGAGTTACCCTTGTGAGATCATTTTGTTGGACCCGGCGTCAGCGGCGAAGTTTACTTCAGTTCATCATCTGTTAAAGGAACCATGAAGGCAATTTAATTTTTTTTTTAAAGAAGGTGTTTTTGGAAGCATTGGGGTCCTGGCATGCCACACAATTTTTTCTAGAATGCTGTTACTCTTATTTCTGTACCTGCAAATGCATTTGCGAAACCGAAAAAAACATTCAGATTTCTTCCCTTGTTCGCCTCTGGAAAGAGAAGTGACGTCAGGGAGCACTGTCGGCATCGGTAGGATTCAGTGCACACTCAAGCCTGTTTTACATGCAGCGGTTTTGGCCCTAGAGCGGCTCGATTTCTGCCGTCGCGGCGCTCTGGCCAGCACCAGTGGTTCAGCGGCACGAGCGCCGCGACGGCAGAAATCGTGCCGCTCTAGGGCCAAAACTGCTGCATGTGAAACACGCATCAGTGTGGTTCCCGTGGTTCGCTCTAGTGCATGCCGGTCTGTGAAGAAAACCTGAAAGAAATGGACGAACAACGCCGCGCTCGCCAACGAGTTTCAGCTCCCGTTCAGCGACCTCACGCCGACTGAACGGGAGATGCTGCTAAGGACGCAGAACTCTGGATTGGCAACCGATGCAGCAATGCTGCGCATTGCTGCATCGGTCGGCAGTTTATGCAGACTAACGTCGCCCGATCGACCGCACGTCTTTAGCCGACCTTTCGCGCAACCTACTAGTGCACATAAACGCGGCATGATTGGTGAGACACCAGTTCGCAAAGCGAACACGAGACGACGCACGAAAGCAAAACCAAAAGTCCGCCGCCCCCGGTGCTCGTACCTCTTTTTCTTTTTTTGGTCCATGGCTGCTCGATGCTTGTTACGCGCCCGAGGTAGCAGTGCGGGATGCGTTCAACCAGTGACAAACGGAGGGATTGCTTCAGATTATGCTTTTAAACACGGTATGAAACCTATTAATTCCGAACTACAACTTCAAAATATTATCCAGCGTTCAAATAAACTTTTTTCATCACATCTCACCACCGAAATCGAAACCAAGAGCGCGTCTATCGTTTGAACCAATCGCCAGACGAGGAGCCCGTTGTCGTCACGCTTCGGCGCACTTTGGTTCACCTTTCTGCCGCCGCCTCGGTGGGGTCTCAGGCATCGTTCCCGGCGCTATTATTATATTATCACCGCGCCTGTTTACTTGATTGGTGCGGCACCCAAACTTCTGTTCGGGCTAGAACTTGGTCAACAGTATCTGAGACGTGCCAGACATCCATTTCAATCGTCGAATAAAACTTCGAAACTGCCTTCATGGTCCCTTTAAACCAAAACAATTTTTTTTTCAGTAGCGTAGCACTAGCACTACAACAGGACGCGCAGTCGTCCGGATGATCTCATCGTCGTGGCGCGAGACTTGAATCCTTGACGGTCTGGCGCACTCGCTCAGCGTACTCTCAGAACGACGTCGGAATAAAGAGGGGCCAGTCATAACAATCTCAACTTGACGAAGAAAAAAGAAAAAAGGAGGAAAGTTTGTTATAAAAGATCCTCTACCCGAGGCAAACCTCACATATTTACCGCCGAATTCAGAAACCTCACTCAAACTACACTCAAACTGAAGGGCCCCTCCACTTCCTCGAGGAAGGCGCGAGGGCCGGCGCTGGCCAATCGCGACGGCGGATCCGTCCTCGCGATTGGCCAGCGCCGGCCCTCGCGCCTTTCTCGAGGAAGTGGAGGGGCCCTTCAGTTTGAGTGTAGTTTGAGTGAGGTTTCTGAATTCGGCGGTTAGTCATGGACACCTAAGGTGCCGACACTCGCTTACCCGACCCTGCAGAGCCTGTTTCTCAAATTCAACGCTGCCGTTCCATCCAGCCCGTCGGTGGAACGTCTATCTAGCTTGGTTGGGGACGTCCATAGAAGGAAAAGGGGAAAACTCTCCTATCAAGAACTTTGAAAGTCAATTGCTTCTGCGAGCGAATAAACTATTTTCGCGAAAACGCAAGCCATAGATAGACTGCATTTATTTTAGGCTCGCAGGGTTTTTCATTGATCAAAACTGCTGTTCATTTTGCTACCACAAAAATGTAAGAAAGTAACTTCGAAAGTAACTTCAAAGTAACTCGCTACTTTTTACAGTAGTTAGTAGTTTACTCAATTACTATTACAAATGCGTAATTTCTACTCTACTCCAATTATTTTTGGCGTCGATACTCAGTAACTTAACTTAACTACCTTTTTTGAGTAATTTGTGCATATTTGTTATTGCGTTATAATCTGCATCGTAACGTTGTGGGACCACTTAATGAGTGCACTTCGTCAGAAGGGAGCAAGCTGCGCGCGCCGGTGGTCGCCTGTTCAAACAGGGTCCCGTGAGTTGTACTTGACCCTGCTGTTTGCGCTCTCTCTGGCCCCCTCTCTAGTGGCGCCGAGCAACAGCGTCTGGCTGCGGGTCGCACGGTCCGGGGTTTCGTTCTCACTGAGCCGCATGGT